AGTAGGCCTGGGGCAGGATTGTTAGGGCTAGGGAATACCTAACATCGAAAATCTGGTCCCAGGTTCGGCATGCGTGCCCCTGTGCCCGTGTCGAGTGTGTTATCCCTAGCACCATCCACTTGTCGTTCACTTGTCAACATTCATACGAACAGTAGTGTGCACATGTTTTTGTTCAGTAACCTTTTTCCCCATACTACTTCTTCAAAGAGCCCTTATTACTGATGGGCAATATGATATAACAGAAGGAAGTGTGCCTCAATTGTCATTTCGGGGCCCCTGATTAAGTTGTTTTTGTTGCTTCCAATTTTTTCTTATTTCTCCCTTTTTCCCGCTTTCTAATTTAATTTATATGTCAGTTGATTGTTTTTAATACGTCACATTACTACATTTATTTCTACTCTCTGGCAACTGATGAAGATAAAGATAAAGATAAAGATAAAGATAAGATTTAATGATATGCTTGAGCGCATACGAAATTATGTGGACAAATAGAGTTAATGCGAGAATGGAAAGATCGCTGACCTGGAGAAGCGTAAGAACAAGTGGTCTTGTATGCCATGTTGCTGTTATCTAACGAAGAGTATTCTGGTCCTTGGATACACATTTTAAAGATTCAAATCGGCCTAAAGCCTATCCTTAAAAGTGAGAAAGGCCCACTGCGTACCAAAGTAAAATATAAGAAGCTGTTCCTAGATTTTTTAGGAAGATTGGCTTTTTCTCACACCCTTCAAGAACCATAATCAGAAAAAAGCGCAAAATTTTCAGAACTGTTTCTCCATGTTGGTTCAAGGAGCTCTCCCTGGACTACGTCCCATATCGCACAAATGAGAAGGAAAAAACAAAGATGTCAAATGCATCTGAATAAAGAAAGAATAATAAGCACATACCCTCATCGAATTCTCGCTGAATTTCTTCGCACACACAAAGTGCTGCACACTTCCTGGCGTGAGCTTCATTTTGATGTATCCTGCTCCTCAATAAATGCCACAATACACACGATTACCGGTCTTCGACGGTGAACGACAGCTCCAACTAGAATAGTAGCAGATGAACTCCTATATTATTGTGTGTATTCGCGTACTTCGGATGAGTACCGTGCTTTGCGCCTAATTTTATTCGTGAATCAAGGGATAGGATCGAGTCTTATGTGAAGTGAAGGTTTTTGTCACGGTGTTCTCCACGAATCCTATTTAAACAAGTTCGCAGAGTTTGTTTCGAAGAAGGGTTCTCGTTTGGCATAATTTTTCGCGTTATCCGGTGGTATCACGACAAGTCTGCTTGTTTGGATGGGTCTAGCACTAGCCGGTTATTGGCGATGACCTCCCCGACACTCACACATAGCACACCCCGCTCTTGCTGCTAAAACAGTAGAACAGTATCACTGGACCAAACATTTGATTTTTGCGCCCGCAGTTGAGCAGCAGCGGATAAAATGTGGCGCAGAAGTAGGTAAGTCAAAAGTTCCCAGTCTAAAACATATTCAAGCATGATTTGGAGCGAAAGCAGTGCTCAGGAGCTGTGAGCGGTACGCATAGAAAAGGATTAGTCTCCGTTCACAGCTGAGGAAGGGACTCACAATCAGCAATGAGGTTCATAGAAGGTCCTTGGATGTCTCTGTCACCAAATAAATTATGCGTAAGTTTACGGTAAGCACTTGGTACGTGACCACACAAAGCGCAAGGAGTGGATTAAGATGTGCAGGGTCCGCGAGTGGAACGACAGCGTCGATTTATTGTTGGCTTTGGGCCAGCTTTTACATAAGTTTTTATGCGATTTCATAGGATTTCTATAACGGTATTGATTAGCTCTATTTGTTTACCATAGATTGATAACAGTTGAGTTTCCGAACGAATCTATATTTCTATCACTTTGATAGACAACCATCGGTGGTGAAAGCCGTATTTCTTTCACAATGTTTGCATGATGTAAGTTTCAGTTTCAAGTGTGTCTTACAGAACCTCTGGACTGTAGCACCTGTCAGTTTTGAGGTGTGCTTTGCGAGCTCTGCTGTCAGTAGCATTTCCCGAAACGCGTCATGATCTTCAAAATCTGAGACAATTTGTTGTCTTTGGACAAGTAGTGAGCACGGTTCAGTGCAAACGAGTTGATCAATTCTAGTAAAAGAGTTATGAGCAGTCGTCTCTACCTACCAGCTGCTGTCCAAAGGCACCCAGTGGCCTGATTCGGTGGCTGCCGACAGTCTTCGGCTGGTGTCAGAGTCCGCGATCCGTCACAGGTTTCGCTGATTTTCCGATTGCGCGATAGGCCGGACGCATAGTCGGTCGGACGACAGCAACGACTCGCAAGTGTCGCACAGCATTGGGTGCGTATCGATCTGCGACACTTGCGACACTTACGACCGCTGCTGTCGGACGACAGCAACGACCGCAAGTGTCGCAGATCAATACGCAGCTTACTATTCCACACTACAGTGGGACTTTCGAAATACGATCACGCGCAGTCACGTGTTGTCTGGGTTAGCATTGGGTGACCGCGTCGCCTTCCATTTGCAACCGCGGTTTATGCGACACTTGCGGTCGTTGCTGTCGTCCGACCGACTATGCGTCGGCGATTCGCGCGACGGGTCACGGAAATCACAAGTGCCCGATCAATACTGCAAGGTGTTCTCCAATCCTGCCGCCACTTCTGCTTGATAGTGATGGCTGAATGACGACTGCTCATGATTCCACTTGTTTCATATTCAGTGTTTCAAATGTTCAAATGGGGCACTTGCAATTTTTGCGATCCGTCGCAGGTTTCGCGCAAATCAGCGAAACCTGCGACGGATCGCGGACTCTGACACCAACCTTACGTGGCTTTCGGGAGTCATTCCTAACCTTATGGGATGGGCTGTCAAGATCGGCCAATGAAAAGTTACAGAGCAGGAAACCGGCTCTTTATGCTTTTCATTTGAACGTTCTGAGTTAAGTTAAGCTTTCGGATCTATTCCAGTTAGGCATCATGATGCAGTTTTTCCAGAAAGCTAGGGTAACTCCGAGCCAGGGGGAGTGTAGCCAGTCTAGGGGGGGGGGGGTGAGGGCAGTCACTTGACATGCGTGAAAAGCTGGAATGTTCGAGTTCACACTAGTTCGCCGAGAAACTGCATCATGATGCCCCCTCCTAACTGGAATAGACCCCTTTTTGCAGTCATTTTAGAAAAAAAATCCTGTGTTGACTAATTGATTTACGAAGTCCTCGCATCATGCTTTCATTTACAATAGCTTGCATTAGCTTATTGATATAGGCGTAGAATTTATTGAGCATTCACTGATGTACCATCGGTATTCCAGAACACACTGCATTGTTTGTGTTTTATTGTAGAGTCTGCATTTCTATTAATCATGCTCCATTCACATTCAGTGGAATGAACGTGATTGAGCGCTCCAACTATGGGTATCAATGTTTTGCAAACACTGTATGAAGGTCAGCTTCAGAGTCGGATAGGGTCGCAGTCATAGTTTGCTACCATCTTGCTGTTCGAGTATGGAATAAGTATGTGTCGATCATGTGATTGCACGATCGATACGTATCTAATTCATTAAAAATCTAAAATTGCAAGATTGCAGAGTACGACCACGGCCGAGCGATGCTCTGCACTGAAAACCGGCGTTGCAAGGGTGAATACAGATTAGTAGATCTGGCTCCACACTCATCTTTACCCTATCGTTCGTGCTGCCTCAGTCCGCGATCCGTCGCGCGATGGATCACAAAATCACAAGTGCTCCGATCAATACTGCGAGGTGCTCTCCAATCCGCCGCCATTTCTGCTTGATGATGGTTGAATGACGACTGTTCATGATTCTACTTGTTTCATATTCAGTGTTTCAAATGTTCAAATGGGGCACTTGCGATTTTTGCGATTCGCGCGCGCGACGGATCGCGGACTTTGACACCAGCCTCAGCCCGCAACGAACTGAAACGTGCCTGCATGGGCTGTGCTTGGAGTTTTCCGGCTGGTTGAGGCACGGCTTTGCATTTTCTAGAAATTTCTGGGCCAGAGTGTTTTCAACTTCGTTTCCAAACCCATACGGACTATCGCGCTAATTATCAGCCTGTTCGTGTGGAACGATGCGCTAGCCCTGATCGAGAACGTAAGAAGTGTGACTGAACAAAAAACTCATCTTGAAAAGCCGTTGGAAAGGGGGCTGAACGGCTTTGAAGTGGGCGTGGTTGGAAGTCGGCCGAGGGGATTGCAGCCGACTGAGCAACCACGCCCACCCACTTCGAAGCCGTTCAGCTCCCTTTCTAGCG